TTTCAAATTGGCTCCACCCACCTCGGGGCACGCTCCGCCCACAACGGGAGTGCCTCGCACATTCCGACATGTGATCACTTGGGGACCATAATCCACTTTTTTGCGCCGTCTGTAGTGCTTTAGGACCAAACTACGATTTTTTAAACTGGTACCTCGTGTTCAAATGCACGCCCCGCCCACTGTGGGCGGGCCTCAGCACGCCGCAAACATGGTGGACTCTTGCCAGATGTTCATCTTCGTCGTGGACTTTTCTGCAATCTCTGATCTATTTCGGGAACCGAGTTACCGACCTTTGTGGGAAGCACCGCCCATCTCAAGTACGCCCCGCCCATTTCGGGTGTGTCTCCTCCATTTGCTCTGCCAACCCAATGCTAACCTTATCCCACTTTTTCCCGTCTCCGGGCTGCTTTGTAGCCAAGTTATAGCTTTTTTCAGTGACACGGGAAGCGCCGCCCATCTCAAGTACGCCCCGCCCATCTCGGGTGTGTCTCCTCTATTTGGTCGGTCAGCCCTTTGTTAACTTTACTGCACTGTTCCCTCATCTGGGGACTGCTCTGGAACCGAGTTATGACTTTTTCAGTGACATCGCTAACTTTCGACGCACGCCCCGCCCACTGTGGGCGGGGCTTACCATGGGTCATGGGTGCTATTTAGGTTTTGTCCCATGCTCTACCCATCCCCACCATGACCCGACCCCTCCAAGTTCTTCTTCAGGTGCTATGAATTTCGTGACAAACAGACAGACGCACACACACACGCACGGACATAGCCGATTATATATAGCAGGATTGGAGTACTCATGTACTACAGTAACCCGAGAAATTCAGAATGAAAAGTAGATAAGAACAGTAGAGATACTATTAGTTTTTCTTTTCAAATGCAATAAACTTTTGATGTGACGCCTAGTGCGCGCCATTTGCTACGTGATTAACTACCGTTACTCGTTGTAACGCGACGTTTTGACATAAAGTTATTGTTTTAATATGTCTTTCCAAAGTCTGTAAATTAAATGTCTGACTATTTATTTGAGCTTGTGTGTGTATTTAGCATTAATTACTGGTCACCTCAAGTTAACTTGCCGCGTAAGGTTTCGCTCCATCAGTGAGGTCGGCGTACTCCAACTCGGCTCATCTCATCCGAATGCTCCCGGCCAAAATTGGCCGCTCGAAAAGGCCAATCAACTACTTTGGAAAGCCGCTCGTGAGGGAATGATCTTGTTCCGCTACGGTAGTTTTTGGTGGTTAGCTTAGCATAACAGCTTTCAGACTACGAGTTCTGGGCATGGTTATGGTCGTCGCCCTTCCTTTTTATTGCTTCATTTGGTCCAAGTTCTCGAAATCAGCGAAGAGCGCTACCCTTGTGTTGAGGGATATTCCATTTTTTTCAGGAAAACCGTCTCCTACGATAAGGAAGTGAGCCTGCACTGTGATTCAGATGGAATTATGCATTTCAGATGATTTGTAATCCTATAGCAGGCTTATCGTTTATTTTCTGAATCACTGAGGCTTCTTAACTCCAGAGCTCAAGAGAATGAGTTTAGGGCGATCGCCGTTTATGGCGATTTATTGACGAAGGCCGTGGAGGTGATCTTCAAAATGGTTAATCATGTAGATCAAGACGTTAGGACGTATGCCGAAGAGTCATTGGACGCCGTTATTGAGGGTAGGTATTTAGTGACACTTTTATTTTTTTTGTTGGAAGACTTGTAAGTACCGTCAGCAATCCTTGAGACAACCTAAGCAACGCAGAGTGTACATTACCGCGACAAGTCAGCACCCTTTCCTTCCAAGTATGGTGCGGCGGTCCAGACGCGACGAACAAGTCCTGTACTTTCATCGGTGTCGTATTTGAAATGCATGAGAAGGGGCGCTAGGAACCTAGGGGGCATATGGGTGCCTACCCAGATCGCGAATTCCCCACCACTTTCGTGGTCGGCGATTGGTTCGCGCTAGTAATATATGGTCCAACTGGGGCTTGATGTTGAGATCAGCTGGAATCATTTGATGACGCGTAAATTGAGAAGCCTATGTTAAGTCATGCATTCTTACGCAAACGTTTCGGTTACGTTACGTTTTCTCAGAAAAAGGGTCCCGTTGGGGCGTTCTCGAGTTTTTAGAGTTTCCTTGCACGGATCGGGACTCAGATATGCCCTGTGTCATCTCGTGAACGTTATTGTCGAATTTCGGCCATCGTACATTGTGCTCGTGGGGAATATGATAGTTGCAGTCACTTACTGCAGTCTGAGGCACCTTATCTAACGAGGAAATCCAATTGGAGGAGTCGTATTTGAGCTACTGTGCGAAGGACGGTGAGTTTTCTTACGTAACATCCAATAGTTATCTTGTGGCTCGAGCGAACAGAAAATACCATAGTGCAGGTCGAGTCAATAAGTAGTCTGGCGTCTGCTGGCGTTTGCTCATTGTTTGCGGGCAGAGTAGTCAAGATGATGAGCGACCTGGACGAGTTGCCGGGTACAATGAAAGGCTGCAGAGGCTGGGGCGAAGTGCAGCTCCGGTTGGGAGCGTCCCAGTAGAGTATGACAGTTGATAGCTGCGTCATTCGACTGCTCCCTATCGACAGAGTTCAGTCCATACTTGGGCGCTCTGTAGCGGGAGTCATTCCTACAACAAGGTTAAGCAATGTCATGACTGCTCGTCTGCGCCCTCTCCCGTGAATTGTTCTACCGTAGCTTAATGGCAGTTGGTACGATAAATCCCTAAAAACGAGTAGGACTGATACGAGTGGGCGGATTTCCGCGACCCTGAGTAGGCGCTGCATAGCGGTTTTTCCGAGGGAGGTACCCTTATAAGGGTCCTATCAAGCTACAACATTCCGACCCAAACGCCCGCCCGCCCACAAATGGACGACCTTACCAGATGCTCGTTTTGCTTCATTTGCTGAGTAAAATATAAAGCGAAGGGATTAGTATGAAGCGGCTGCGGTGCTGAATGGATATATGAGTACATACATGCAGCCGTACCTGCCGGAGCGGTTATTTGCAATACGCCTACGGGAAACTCGTCCGAAATTGCTTTTCAAGAACGAAGGCTTTTCTTCGCAGTTTTTGACCGTTTCACTTCGTTTTTTCGCCATTTTACCACTAGATAGCGCCCTGCTAGCATTTTAGGCAGAGTACCAAATTATCGTGCCCAACCTCATATTGTGTTACCCTGAGGGCAGTGACGCCTCCCAGGGAACATAATGCCCAAACTCATCTCAATTACCACCATTTAGAGCCTCCTACTTGGTTTCTACCATTCACGTGTGCTTGTCTTACTTATCACCGAAATCGGTAGAAATGTAGCAGCTCGTTCTATTATTTGTGCATTTCGTCGTCTTGCTCAACTCATTCACTTCAGCAAATGTAACCGCGTGGTGTGAGTTCACAATTTTTGAATAACCAGTAGTACTATGAGGCAGCAATCGTCTGTACCGACGTTATATCGTGCGATGGCAATCTTTTGTGTGTTAGGACATGTTGTATGACTGTGTTTTTATTGGAACCCCTTACAAGCCATTACGCTGCGTGTTATGACGCGTCAGTGACGTGGAGATCACGTCCATGAGACCTGAAAATGGCCACGCCTACTCCATAGCCTCACAAGATATGATTACGTATAGACGATTGCGGCCCTGTAGAACTATCGGACTTCATTACTCCTGTAAACCATAACAATTTTTCCGGTTTTTTAGAAGCTATGGCGTTCATATCCTTTCTGCTTTGACGGCCATGCTGAGAAGGCCTGAAGAATCTATCCAGAATGCTTTAGTAACCTATTCTGGATTGCTTTTTGACACATTAGGGCCACGAATGCGAAGTCAACACTCTGAAAAGGCTTATGTAAGATCTCTTTGACGC